AACACAGATACGTTGATTCCATGTTGCTTTCGAAGGTGGGTATAGCCACTTGCAATCGGCAATGCAGAACCCTTGAGTCATTTCATGCAGACTCATTGTTTCGTGTCGTCGGGCCCTTATCAAGGCTCTAATTTCTGCATCTGGATTAGGAGTGTTCTGATATTCGCTCGCCTACTTACTCTTCAAGACGCAACGGAGGTTCCGCTGGTTGCCCCAAAACGCATCGGGGATGACGGACCGCGTTACCGCAGACACGTACCGGTACACCTTATCATGCGTTAGCAAATATCATCAACAGGAAGGCGCCAGACCGGACTTCGTTGTGGCTGCATGCAAATTCTGCAAAACGTGGCTTGGCATTCGCTGCAGCTTGAGCTGTTGCAGCACCGTGAGGGAAAACGGCACTCGAGTGTGAAATATCGACCGAGTCCACCTGTTCTTGCGTTCGCAAATCAGAAATTTCAGACATTATATCCTGCCCGGACCCTATTAGCCCGATCTGTGTGATTTCAGTTGCGGGCTCACCAGGATGACACTAGTATCCGTCAAATCCGCCTTGCTGGTGAGCACCTTTATGCACAGTCAAGTATATCAACAATGAAGCCTGTCAGAGGGGACCGAGGCTCACTTTACTTGGACACACAATGTCACAAATGCGCTTATAGCTCGTCTGGCAATGCAACTGCAGCAATCTCGTGGACAAAGGCTTCAGGTCCCTCAATCGCTTCGGCGTTTTCGCTTTTCCTTGCCGCTGCGCCGATGGCTGGTTCAGTAAGGAGTTCCAAGGAACTTCTTGTCACGCACCAGAATCTCGTCGTGACGGTCTGTGTAATCTCTGAATGGGAATGACGCATTGGTAACATCCAGACCCGAAGTGAAGACGTTATGTAACCCATAATAAGATGGGAATATGTATTTCAAGGCGTGGCGAGCGGCGTTGTCAGAGCGGAAATCACGCCTCAAGTCGTTGAGAACATCTGCATATAATGTTAGCCTGCCGTCTTTTGAGGTTGGTCGCAGCTTACGGAAGCGGGGTAAACCGGCTCTGATCTTTCCATCTGGAGCTCTCGAAGGCTTCGAGTAGAATATTCGAGCGCGGACAAGTCGTATGTCGGTGGGAGATCGTCGTTTCTTTGTCGGTCGCAGAGATAGTCCAGGTTCCAGATCGACACCTCGTTTCGGGGCAGCGAACCCCGTTGACGGTGTGACGGGGAGACCGCGGATAATGAGTTCGTGTATAGGTCGGCCGAGCACCTGACACCAGCAGTCATTTGGAAGACTGACGAACAGGCTCGTCGTCGTCAGGAAGTGCAACATCGCCTTCTCTCCGATCCTGCATAAAGATGAGGCTCACAGCTGATATGATAAACGACGAGCTGACGTTTCCAGGATGCGCTGCCAGTCTGGTGTTTGCAAGATGTCGGCTGTGGTGTTCGTAAAGAAATTCGACAGACCGGACTGGTGTGCCTCGCCACGCGTGTCGGCCTGTTCTGAGGATGAGTTATATTCTTACCATCAGATGCAGAACATGAGTACCATTCGATATCCGAGGTTGATGACATTCGAATACTTCTTGTTTGACGTGAATAACTTTGATCGCGCCAGATCGAGCACCTTGTACCGTCATCAGATGGATTCCTCGTCGCTAGGTCATCCACAGCACCTCAGCTTGAGACGAGAATGGCTTTGTCGGAGTGAACAGTCCGCATATTGGAGGCGCTTCTGCTGTGACGAGGGAGCATGCCAGTATTTCTTCCAGCGACGCGTTGCCAGTCAACAGTCGCGCGTCATCAGCATTTAAGATGCTGAATAGATATGACCGAAGATCTGTAACGTAAGGGTAGACGCTCTTCAGTACGCGTATGCCGCTAGGGCCGCCTTCGTCCATTGAAGCTGATGAAAGTAGTTTGTCCGAATAGCTAGGAGGTCAATATGAAGGACTGGATGCGCCGTGATCGCATTGAAGCTCGGCGCGTGCTTGTCAGGGTTCCGCGACGCGTCGAGCCACGCTGGTGGGCCGCCGATGTAATCGGTATCGATCGGCATCTTGGTCACCTCTTCAAAGCCTCACCCAATGTCATGACAGTGGTCTATGCCACCGCAAGACTACTGTGCCGCGTTCCCTGATCTTTGGTAATCCGACCTGTTACAACCATGGCCATCTCGTCGTGAAGATGGTGTGAACGACGATCCGGGGCGGGTGAGATGGACGGACAGAGGAATACGGAGAATGAGATACCCAGCTCCTTGCAAAACGGTGCGCTCGCGCTCTCCGGAGGCTGCAGCCTGTTGCTCACCTCAGCCTGGAAGAAAAATGCTGCGCTGGCCCTTTATCTCCGAATACCAGGTGTCATATAGTTGATGATGATCAAAGATGCAGTATGCAAGGGGAAGGTAGAGACTCGCATCACCACCCAATTGTCCTCGCGTGGCTTTGCAACATTTCATCCTTTCAACCCAGCTACCATGTCACCGGAATCCGATGATCTCTTGTGGTCGTATATGGACAACCTTGGGGCCATCAGTGGTAGGCTCCCGGCCAAGCCAGTCTGACCCACTGCGAGCTCAACTATCGATCTTCGTTCTGTCAGGTACCAGCAACAGTCCTTGTTACGGCGCTTGTTGTTGGGCACCGCGCTCATGTCACGCGCAGTACTGTCCTGCCTAAGGTGTTCGCTTACTAGTGCGGAATTGGGGCGGTGGAGTCGCTCCCAGAGGCTGATAACCTGTACTCGTTTCACGATGGCAGCGCAGAAACACGGCTGATTAGTCAAATAGCTACTGTCGGTTTGATAAGCTGTACTTGAATTAGGGCAGTAAATGAAGAAGTGATGCTCCGCTGTACTGTCAAGGTATGGTGTTGTGTCGTATGAACATCAAGTCGCTTGCGACCTTTGTCAAGGAGATTTGGGGGCCGTTCCTCTTCCGAGCTTCACAACCACTGTTGGGTTAGCTTCCGGGCATTCCCGGTTCAGCGTCTTTTTGGGGGGACTGTAGGAGACAAGTTTTGATGATTTGATGTACGTAGGAGTCGCCAGATGTAACTGCTATACAGCGAAGGCCGGGATGTGTTGCGGGCCGGCCCTTGAATGGTCCCGACCTTCTGGAAACTTCCTTCAGTTTAGGGGAGAAACATCCGGTTTCAACAACCTCACTTGAGCAGTAATCTACTGTTGTACCTTTCCCTTGACCGTCTAGGTAGGCGACACTGGTCCGCCGAGTCCATACCCCAACCAGTGCCGGTCCGCACCGAGCTCCAACTCCAATCTAGGTGAGCTGCTAAAGAAAGTGTTCGCATCTGCAAATCCGAGGCCCTACTACTGTACCCTCCAGCTCAGGGACACCAGGCTAGAAGCCCGGCACTACTGACCCCCGGTTTGCCATGGCCAGATTCTATGGTGACTGAGCATCGTCTCAGACTGGAAAAAGAAGCTCTTGGGTACTTGTGACATGTCCAGCATAGGATAAGCGCTAGGGCGTGGTGATCTCCTCGGTCTGCTGGACGTTGACGAATTGCAGCTGGCGCATAGCGTCCCTTATAGCCCGGAAGCTCGCCCTCAAATAGCGTCGTGTTACGCACAATATAGGAATACTCCAAACATGGGCACCCGCAGCCACGGCTAGAAGGCGAATCGGACAGCATGGTGCATGCAAGGCCGCTAACCAAGCGAATTTCCGGGATTATGCACTGAAATAAAGCCGGTGAACGTTGTCTGGGACATAGAATCTATTACGGGAGCCCAAGGCTTGTGTGAGGTGCATAAATAGTGTGACTACGACAGCAATCCATACGGCATCCACAGCCTTTCGCGACGCACTCCACTCCCATAACAATACCGCTACCTCACCCAAATACATACTAGGCATCATGTCTGGCCCGCTTAAAGATGGGGAAACAATTGGCCCTCAGACTGAAGGCATAAAAGGCACCCACGTCATCATCAACGTCAAGTCTGGCAAAGCTCTCACTCAACTCGACAAAGACGGGGTCAGCTACGTGGTTGGACAGGCACGGAAGCTTGGGACCGCCAATGCCAGCCAGCAGGTATGCCCTTGTCATGGGAGCGTCCAAACCTCTCCGAGCTCACAACACGGAACCCTCAGTGGACGGTCGAGTACAACACGAGTGCTCGCGCCTTCACGTTCAAGAACATCAAATCGGGGAGATTGATGACATCGGATCAGCTGGCGAGTGCTTATGCCGGCGATGCGTACGGCGTCTTCGTACAGCCCGGAACGGAGACGAGCGGCACCTACTGGACCGTGGGTGAATCGCTGTGGAACGGATCTTATACGTAGGTTCAGCTTTTCCTGACACCGCATGTACCTCAGTGTCTGAATCATGCCCCCAGGATTACGGCCAAAGACTTCAACACTCAGGTGCTCGAACTGTACAACTGTGGGGACACCTCCGACCCTAACACGGTGGTAAGTGAAAGACACATGGCATGTTCAGAGTGGATCATTGAGAGGCCCTGGTATGCTTTTCTTAGGTCAACATCGCCACGGAGTCGAGTTCGAGTACCGACAAGCAGTTGTGGGTGTTTGCGGCAGTTGGCACGAGGGTCTGAAAAGGCTTTCGAAGCATGAAATCCGGTTCTCCTGAACTAATTTCACGCTGTCCGCTCCTTCTTGTACTTTTCTCTTCAAGTTAAGCACATCAACTGTGCATCGTAGGAAAATAAGTGTTACTTCAACAGTAATGCATCAAGATGTGTTGTGTGAACCGTGCCAATGACCTCAGGCAATGACACTGCGAACGGCGATTACTGGAACTATCCGCCATGGTTCTGCTCTGCCGTTTTGACAGGAGGATAGGCGGTTCAGCCTCTCGGAGGGACCGTACTGTCCCCAGTTCCGCAGTAGTAAGCGAAACCCTTAGGCAGGGCAGTCCTCCGCTTCACATGATCCCGTGGCCCAACAACAAGAGGTACAATTAATGCGGACTGTATTGGTGCGGTCGTGTCCCTGTATTAGCTTAAATTGAGTCAACCCACCTTGCTGGCTTGGCCGAGAGGTCTAAGGCGTCTGACTTGAATTTTCGAGATCATATGTGCATTGCACGCGTAGGTTCAAATCCTGCAGCCAGCGAAACTTTTGAGATGTCTCGGTAACGAAGAACAGCTGAAGGAGAGTGCACACTTACAGTTCGCCACCAGGGTCGCATTTGTTGCTGGACGCTTGTGCATCAATTTACGTGTGAGTTCACCGCCAGTCACCTGGCGAGCGCCGACTTTTGGTTGAACAACGAGAGAGCATCAATGACAAGATGTGATCTTCGAGATCGATCCAAATTTGGGACCAGTTCCTTCTGTGGCGATGCATTTCCTCCGCGCGGCACGCTCGCCTGCTTGGCAGGGCTTCCAGCGTTTGATTACGGGGGCCTGCAGCACCGCGTCTCATGATCCACGACCTTGTTTGACTCTCCCTAACCCCGCTGTAGTGTCCTTCTTGCCTCTTTTGACGACCGTCTCTCTGCACGTAATCGACTATTACTAAACTTCACCGCCGTCCCTGCGCCGGCCTGAGCTTAACCCGGCAGAAGCGCCCACCCCACGCCCAGTCGAAACCCCGCTTTCCCGCCGGTCACAGTCACAACCCTGCCGCGCGCACGCGACCCCGACCACATAGATAGACCTCCGCCATGGGCCAGACTTGTGCGTGACCTTTGTCTCTCTCTTGCGCTTAGACGACGACAGGCTCAATGGACCGTCTCCGCGCAGCCTCACAGTTTATGGACGAGATGGGGAAGAAGTCAAACTGTGCGCCGTTCCGCCCATGGTCGCTGGGGATGCATGGCTGATATATGCCATCAGTCACACCCGCAGAGCTGGAGCGCCTCAAGAGGCGGTTCATGAAGCTGGATAGGTGCGTAGCATGTCGCCAAGCGTTGCGACCTATGGTGACATATCTCCACAGCGACAACTCTGGCTCCATCGACCGAGAAGAGTTCCTGTCCATCCCGGCGATCGCGACCAACCCACTTGCGAGCCGGATGATCGCCATATTTGATGAAGAGTGCGTGCCAGCTGGCTGATGCCGTGACCGCTGTGACTTATGCAACCTTGTTCGCAGCGGCGGCGGGACTGTCGACTTCCAGGAGTTTATCAGCGGGCTGAGCGCGTTCAGCGGCCGAGGTGGCCGGGAAGAGAAGCTCAAGTGTACGGTTTCTTCCGTGGCTGCCGCATACATATGCTGATGCGTTGCGTGGGCATAGTCGCGTTCAACGTATACGACATGGACCGTGACGGGTACATCTCGAACGGCGAGCTGTTCCTCGTGCTCAAGATGATGGTGGGGAACAACCTGAAGGTGAGTCATGCTGCCTTTCAGCACAACCCAGCGGCTGATGCCGATATGCGCAGGATCAACAACTACAGCAGATCGTAGACAAGACGATAATGGAAGCGGACAAGGACGGGTGCGTAGCCTCGTCCTGGATCGCTCCGCATATAGCTGACCATGCGGCGATGTCGTAGGGATGGCAAGCTGAACTTCGGCGAGTTTGCAAACATGGTGTCCAATACGGTGTGTGTTGTGCATTCCCTTCCTTGCCGTTGCTGATCGGGACGGCATCACAGGACGTCATCAAGCAGATGTCGCTGGAGAACCTATTCTAGCCGCCCAGACGACCCCCGTCCTTCCATCTCCTTCCATCCTTCACCCGGACGGTTGTCTCTCCCAGAGCAGGAGACACCCCCCGTCTACCTTCCCACATCACCCCTGCTTCCTATCCACACCTCAACGTCCGCCACATGTATGCATGCATGTACGAGTCCTCTCCTGGTCGCGCGCCATCTCTGTCTATACCATGTGCAAATAAAGATGCAATTTGGCGCTCTCATCCGCATGCACGTCTGCTGATCAGCGAGTTCTCACACCCAGAACCCCGCGTACCTCGGACGCGGTCGCTCGGAATACTGTCCCAGGGAGTGCTCGATCGGCTTACCGGCCGGAGCGTACGTCATGGGCAGCCACCCGATCCGTCGGGCGCCAGTTCAAAGCCCCGCGAGCCGTTTCGGTCCGCATGGACAGGAGGGACTTGGGAGCGCTGATAAAGCTCACAACCCTGGTCAGAAACATCTCATCTCAGCAATGATGATGGTTTACGGGAGGTGGCTCGTGGGAAGTTGCTGATCGCGATGCGAAGCAAGAAGCACGGTCTGACAGGTCTGTCGATCGAGGTTGCTGGCAACTCGACAAGAATGCCAGGCGTGCCTGCTTACTTGGGGTTCAGACACTTTCCTAAGCCGGCCTATACCTCTGGAGTCACCCCTCCCTACCGAAAGATGGCCGTACGAGATATTCACGCCCTGCTCAAGACCCTCTCGCGCACATCTTCCGTTCCATTTCTCCCGTAATGATCCCACTCTTCCAAGTACTTCCTACAAGCCGCAGGCATCCCACGTGTTTTCAGTACAATAACAGGCAGCGTCACTACCAGCCTGGCGCTTTCCTCACTCGGGCCATCAGCGGGAACTGCCCGTCCCCGACCCACGCGGGCAACCGCTTCAGCACACTTCCGGCGAGCATCGGACACCCCCCTTCCCGCGGATGCGGGTGACGCAGCGCGGCGTCATCCGCACGCTGCATTTCCGCCGGATGCGGGTGCGCCGTGATAGGAGTACGAAGACGGGGATAGTAGGACTGCACGGGCTGCTGCTACGCACGGGCGTTTACCTGATCCTTCGGACGGAGGAGAGCGGTAGACTGCCGAAGGAGAAGGAGAGGGAAACAGCGCGCTGGAAGCGGTGAATGCGGAAAGGACGGGCTACCCCGCATGTCTGCCAGGAACCCGGGACGCGGGCTGGGGAGCTTCTGAGCGCATGGGGGCGAGGGATTGAGCACCCGAGCCAGCCAGTGACAGAGCAGCGGCCGCGGCCGCGGCCATCGCTCGTACAGCACTGCCCACATTTGGTTCACCCGGGCTCGGTAGGAGGTGCGAAGCAGAAGCAGAAGGCGGGTTCGGTTTGCTGAGTTGGGGCCGTACAGCATGTGTATGCTATGCGGACGGGTATAGAGCCTCTTTTGGCGAGCCCCGGGAGTGCGAGGCGGGAGGGCAAGGAGAGGGGGAGAGGGGAAGAGGGGGATCCGGCAGGTCCTGGCGTACTACATTACTGTATTCAAAAAGGGGCAAACAACCGCGGGCCTGGCTCTAGGCAGCGATATCGCGACAATAAGAACGCTGTGAAGCACAGTAATAAGGTAAGGGGAGCGGCCACGTACGTACTGCTGTTGCGCGTGGCAAGCCGGAAATACGCCGCGGGCAGGAACGTTTCTCCGGAGGAGGGCTGGAGGAAGGCGTGCAGTACGTAAGTAAGCTGCCCCACTCTCCCGGTGTGGTGGGTCAGGAGCTGGCACCCGTCATTGCCCGCAGTGTGCAGCACAAAAGGCGGGCGAGTGGCACGCTTGTTGCCATGATAGAGAGCAGCCGCGTTTTCTGCTGCGGCCATGGAGAACGAAGTGTGGTTACTGTACATATACGTACCGGGAGAGAAGTTGGGCTCCTTTAATATTAATATAGGAGTACTGGCGATCGAAACCGGCGTGCCTGAGGTTTGTGTTGTGGACTGCGCCGGCAGTCGGCATCCCGCCTCCCGACCGCCGAGGGGAGGCCGGCTATGTAGTCCGGGGAGGTGCGTGGACTGAGTGACTTTGACTCTGACCAAATGGGCCCAAGCCGTGGGCGGGCCGTTCTCCCGAGCTTAGTCCTCGGAAGCAGTGGCGCGGGCGGCGAGGGTGGTTAGGGACGTGCTTCTGTAGCAGCTGAAAATGGACAAAGGGCTCAGCCACCCACGCCCACCGGGGGCATCTGCGGCATCTCGCTGGGTGGGCTCTCAGGGGGGCGGCTCGGTATGACGAACGATAAATATCCTTTGGCCTCATCAAGTGGGCCCGCGAACTCCCTCCCTCCGGCCGCCCGACTCACTCACCCCCTTCACCCGCGGCCTCCCTCAACATCGCCCTCCGCTTCCTCCCTCCTCTCCCTCGTGAATACTCCTCGCAGCGGCTTATCGCTCCCCGGTATCCTCGTCGCTACCCAATAGACAGCACCGCACAACACCGCCGGTAGAACACCCTATCCCGCTCTAGTCGCGCACGATGGCCCCCGTGTCTATTGACGACCTTATCGCCTCCCTCAACGGGAGCGGCG